CCATGCAACGATGTGATCATATAATGTGTTCATAGTCATTCGTGATAGTGATTGTTGGTCCAATATACAATGGCAAAACTCTCAGTCTCAGCGTTTCTTCCTGTGGATGGCCAGTAGTGACTCAGAGCTTAGAAGTATTAGTTTTCTTCACAGGGCTGGGATAAAAAGTACTGAGGGTAATCTTCCACCAAGGAACTCTACTTTGACATGGTATGAGATGTAGGCACAAGTAGGTAGGTGCTTAGTTCCTATATAGTCAGCAGTTGTGTAGGCTTAGTCGGGTTAGCTTAGATTAGGTTATGTTAGTTTTTAATTTGCCAAGTGTCCATAAAAATGTGACCTGAGCAATGAGCATACCTGAATAACCTGACAGCTGACCTAACCTCAATCATCACACATATTTGCAGCCTACCCAAGACCTGCATAGCAGAAGCACCCAGTTATAGGTAGGTACTCACCCTAACTCAATCTTACCTGCTAACCTTCAACTTGCCAATAGTTAGCTCACCTTGCCAAGCTGCATCCAGGGAAACAGTCAACTGAGGAACTGGCTCATTGGGTGGCTGGTGTGAGTCTGTGCATTAACCCTCGCCCGCACATGCCATTTTCCCATCCTAGAACGCACATGGGGGGGGGGGGGTGGTTGCCACCCCCCCGCGCCATTTCGTTCCTGTTGGAGATAGAGCTTAGCAGTAAAGACCAAAAAGATTCTTTGGGAAGAGACGAATCCAATGATACCCAGTTTTACCTTCTCAGGTCAGTCATTGACCTTCCAGGTCAGGTCAAACTAAAAAATGTTGCTGTTTTGGGTCACCGTTGGATATCAAGTGCGCTGCTTATCAAATACCGATGACGATGCTGTTTTCTGGTGCCAAGCCAGCTAGAACCTCTTTGTCGCACTATCCGACCAGAATTTTGCTGCTGAGGTCATTTCAGGTCAAGTTAGGTCAAGGTCAATTGTATGTGTTTGTATGTCTGTGTGTGTCTGTGTGTATACTGATGTGTGCACCGATTGTTTTTGGGTCCATATCACATGAAATCATGTTCTGAGAAGCTTTTACCAAAAATGCAGTCAAAAAACTTCACAAAAAGTAAATTCAGCTTGCCTAAAACGCAATTATCTTAGATGACCTAGGTTGACCTTGACCCTGACCTTGACCCCTGTACATCGTCGAACAACATGTTCCATGATAGGTGGGAGGTAAGACTGGTAAAAAATGCCGAAATCAGGGTGTCAAAAGCTCACAAGGCCCATGGCAAACGCAAGATGTTGAGAATTGGCCATTTGGGTCATGACATGACCTGAAAAACAAGGTCATATCTCCGAAACCAAAAATCACAGAAACTTGAAATTTTCAGTGGACATCAAGAAAGGATAGACGAGCAGCTATACGAAAAATCAGCCTTCTAGCTGTAAAAATGTTGAGTGCAGAGCAGAAAGACTGCCTGGGGGGGGGGGGGTGGCAACCACCCCCCCCCCCCCCCATGTGCGGGCGAGGGTTAAAAGTGTTTCTTCTCTGAAGCTGCTCTGCACTGCTGTATGTCATGTTAGATGCTCAGAAAATGTGGGAAATGATTACTAAGCTACTACTTAAGTGCTTTGTTAATGCTTGAGACATGAACAAGTACAGATCCTGCAGGGTACAGCTATGAGTTAGGTGCTAGGTGAGTATGTTATGTGAAGGTGCTGTTCCCTGTTTGACCAAAGTAAGTATACAAATAAGCACAGGGTCACAGTTATATTCAATCTCCACATAAACACAACAAAAACGGCCATATTGCCTCACTCCGAACACACCACAAAGAACTTAAGCCTTTGCAGGCACAAAAATGCTTTGATTTACAGGACAGGTATACAATATAGGTATCCTCTGTCCTTGGGGATCTTGCTGCCAAGTTGAGGTACGATGACTGAACTTCAGGATTGATCAACCTTTTCTTCTTAGCCACTGCTTATATACGAGAAAGACCAAATGCTTGTTTGTAAACTGCCTTGAAAATTTACTGATCCACCTTCAATTCTGACATGAAGGCACAAATAAATAGTTCCCTCTCCTTTTGGAATACACAAAGCAAAATATTTAATAACTTCCAGTGGAGGCCATATAACCAATTACACTGACGCTTATTCGCTTCATATTTTGTAACAAACGCGCTAAAACTGCAATATAACAGCACTATATGCTTCTTGACAAAATGCAAAAGTAGTAAAAATTTAGCCCTGATGGCATTCATTCTTGGTGGAAACGTAATAACAAAATATTTTGTAGTAACTATTAAATTTCGGCCGAAAACAGTGTACGGTTTAAGAAAGAATCATTCCAGTGACGGTCCATTCTTGCGGTCCTGAAATCGCCACTATTTCCGGCCTCTCCAACGCAACTCGTTGTCCAGACGTAAATATGCTACAGGTAGGCACCCACCAGGCAATGTATTCCCATGTGTTACGGTTAGGGTGCTACTGCACGTGCGCACGTGAAGGGGGCGCTTCCAGATCTCGAGAACGGCTGGGCCGATTGCGCTCGAATTTGGTACACGGTTGGGGACCAGTTAGTAGGGTGCCGTGCAAAAGTCAGTTTGGACCCCGTTTGCACGTGCGCACGTGCGGAATGCCGCTTCCAGATCTAAGGAACGGCTGGGCCGATTGCGATCAAATTTGGCACACCGCTAGCGACCGGTTAGAAGGGTGCTTTGCACAAGCCCGTTGGAAGTATCCTCTCGCCCTTCTGCACGTGCAGCGCTCGCTATCTCGCTCGCTCGTCCTTCGCCCAAAAGGCATTTTACTGGTCACTAACTTTCAACACATATTGGGAACATGATTATAATGTGAGTAGGTATATTCTGATGTACAATAATCGCAAGCCATTTAAAAAAGAAACCTATTCAGAGCTTGCGTGAACATATATGCAAAAATAACGTCACAAATAATTTATTTATCCCTTTTTTACAAACAGCTTTAGGTGTAACTAATAAAATATTAAAAGGTAAAAAGAAAATGTTATTCGATGTCAAACCAATTTCTCCCAAGATACCTCATACAATTTCACGTCCAAAACAGTTTTGGAATTGGCACTATAAACATACAAGGGGCGATAGATGGGTCCCCTCTCCAGTCAATCGCGGCTCGTGTGTGAACCGCTCCAGAACTACTCGATAAGCGCGTAGAACTATGGGATGGTGCCTTTTACCCTTGTCAACTCGCCCTTACCGATGGGCGATGAGTGCCACTTTCCTCGCATAAAGGTGGCTATATTAACCCGTCTGTCGGGTCACCCTTTCCAATAAGTGTCACTTAGCAGTAAAGGGGAGCAGGCTATACGAACCGGGCTATTACAAGCGTTATACAGCGCTTATATCTGCCTGACATACATATCAACAGTTCCCAGCAAGATCATTCTTAGTGCTGTTTCTAAAATGTAACCCTCGCCTGTGTGCGGGGTTTTACAGCGTCTAACGTGTGTGGGGAGTGGTCGGTTGGACCCCCTGCCTTTCGGCCCCTGATCGAGCTAGAGCTTTGCGGAAAAAGCGAGCGTGTTGCCCGTGACAAGAGGAAGCGGATGATATTCAATTTTAAGACCCTAGGTCATTGGTTGACCTTCCAGGTCAGGTCAATGACCCAAAAGTCTGAACTACGGGGCCTGCTAGAAAATCGTAAAGTGAAGCTTTCGTTGGGTTTTCGGGGCGCTAATAACGAATTTCATGTTAGTTTTGATCACAGATGATGTTTTCATCCAGTTAGGCCAGGCTGGGTCAGGTTAGGTCAGGTCAACCAGTAGGCGTCTTACAGCCTATCCATAGTAGGTGTCAACCACCACTGAATGCTTCGTAACATATTGCGAAGGCACTGAAACTACTTCTCAAATGTTCGAATGGTAGCTTAATTCGAAATCAGCCCCAAAAACTAGCCTAGAAACATGTAAAACTCGAAAAAGTGAACCAAGGTCATCAAAGGTCAGTGACCTGACCTGACCTTCACGTGACCTTGACACCCACCATAGTGCATGGGACCAACATCATTTCACATGTTTGAACGTTTAAAAAAAAAGACTGCAAACGTGCGGATAATATGAGCCGACATACGCCGAATCGCGATTTCGGCCAAAGGTGGTCTCGAGAAATAGGTCAAAGGTTATAGGGGTCAGGGTCATGAAATTTACATTGTATGCGTAAAATTGATCAACTCGAGGGTACTGAAAGTTTCGTCGCGATCGGCCGCTTTTTGCATATGTTATTCGCGAAAAGCCGAGGGGGTCCATCCGACCCCCTCCCCCCGACAAGTGCGAGCCTGCGAGGGTTAACGGAAGAAGCAAGCAACTTTTGAAGCGGCTGTGAAGCATTATCACTCAGGGCGTTCTTGCGCTCCATATTACAGCACAGGAAGCAGCTAGTGGTACGGATATTTTTTGCACCCTACGCGTCTCGTCGAGCTGAGTCGACTGATATAAAATCTAAATTTCGATAAATTTGACACTGTCGGTGCTGCGCGAACCTTCGACTTACTTTATTCCCGGACAGTAGCAGCCGGTAGGGTGCGCCGGGTTGCTGCTGCTCGGTCCGACGTTTTCATTCCCCTGTACCCGGACCGCCGCCGCGCGGGAGGTGCGGCATTTACTGCGGCGAGCGGGTTCAACGTGCTGCCTGCCGCCCGGACCGACCACGCGGCGGCTACTGTGCCGGTGACCGAGCCGTCGCCTGGCGGGGGTCCGGCTGGCGGGGCTGGACCTATGCTGTCGCCTGGCAGAGGTGCATGCTGCATAGCGCCGGGCTGGCTCCGTCACCTCGGCTCCGGTGCGGGCTTGTCGGCCGACGGCCGGAGTGCAGCTGTATGATGGCGATGTGTGTGTGGGCGTGATAAAATGCTTGCGACACATCTTTTTTTACGCTGTGACTGGGGAATTCAGGCCTTCTTTATAGTGTTTTTTGAACGTTATATACGTTTTCAGGAACACGAAAATTGTTTTATTTTATTGACGGCTGCCAATATTTTTTTTTTTTTGCAGAAATTCCCGGAGCTGAAATTCAAGTATGTGGAGGAGAACGAGCCGGAGGACTTTTTCATTCCGTACGTTTGGTCGCTGGTGGTGAGCGGCGGCGACCTGCACTGGAGCACGGCGGCCGCCGGCTGCCTGCTGGCCACCGACGCCGCGCCCTCCTGAGCCGGCCAGCAGCCGCAGCTGCTACTTACTTGTTGACGTTTATATGCCCCGAATAGACTATAAATGGTGGGACGCGGCGCATCGGTGCTGTGAATGCCTTGTCGGGTATCGCTGGTGATCAATATCACAACTTTGTTTTTAAATTGTCTGTCATATGCAAAATATTATATGCCTGTGAAGAACATGAAGTCAGTGGGCTTATGATTATTGCAAGGTTTAGGATGGAGTTTACGAAGGATTTACTAGCAGTACTTGGCCTTATAGTAAGGACATGACTTGAAAAATACACTATTAGTTTGTACGATAACTTACTAACAGCTCTTGCCCGTTGGGTAGATTTTTCCCTCCTGCAGTTTTGGGACACCGTATAATTCCAAGTTCCAAAACCGCTACTATAAACACAGTGCAAATACCGATACGAAGTCATAGCTAATGGCGGGTCTAGAGAAGTGGTCCGAGAAGCGAGACGTTACGGGAGATGGCCATACTGGAAAGGTTACAAAATAAAATTATTTGCCAATGGGTTTTGCCATAGACATGAGGTTTTGCCTTGTAGTGTTTTGCCTTGCGATTTAAAACGGACTTTTGTCATAAGAGTGATAAGCTTTTTTTTGCACTACGAAATCTCGCTGGCTTCGGGCGTCCTTAATTCCTCCCGTTTCCCCTTCCCATGGAACCGCCATGGCATGAAGTTACACCGCCAAATCTGGTGAATACCTACTGGTTCCACTTAAAAAAAAAAAACATAAGGAACTGATTTCTGTGTCCTATGGGGTGGGAGGTTTATATAGCCTTGGGTGAGAACATCATTGCGCACCCCGTTCCATCGCTTCCATCCTCAGGATACAGAAATCCTTCTCCTCCACGCCGCAACCCCCACTCCGGGCTGGACAGGCACCCTTATCTCTTGCGGGCTGCTCCCTTGGAGCGGCACCGCTGCTCCCGAGGGAGCGCACCCCGTAGCCGGGTGCAGAGAGTGCTTGGGGGCTGGTCGGCCTGTCCTTTCGGACGGGCTCAGCCCCGGCGACTCTCTAGGGTGTCTGCCCAAACCAATGTCTCCCCCTAATTCCTATCATCCTTCCGGCTCTGAAATGGTCTCTTCAGATTGCAAGGGCCTAACCCAACAAAACAACAAAACAACATCATTGCGTATAGTCTTGGCGCTCAAGATTACTTTACTACTCAGGTTGGTTCACTAGGGAAATAAAGGCGCCGTAGCTACGTCACGGATTTGGTAGCAATCTGGTAGCAATTTTTGCAGACATCAATGGCGCACGTGTTGTTTGATCGTCGCCAATACTATTTTACTGCACTATTTTGTTATTTCACTGCAATGTATTGTACATTACATTTGAAAATTAAAATAAAGAAATATTCGTAACCCAGCAAGTCAGTTATACTTTGAAGCAGCACTCTGTCAGCATTGAGCCTTCAGAATGTGTGATTTGATAGACTTTCCCACATTTTCTACTCTTGTGGAAAACTTTCTTAGTGATCAAAAATGTATGCACATATGAATAATTAGAACTTCATTTTCAAAGTTTTATAGAAATAATATTTCACATTACATTATCATAAGGCTACCTGTCCATTTCGTCCAACCAATTAAATATTCATCCAGCAGAAGGCAGGTACCTCTGAGAAGGTACTGATATCTCTTATCTACCCCAATATTTCAGGAAAATGACAGAGACTGAGAAGCTATTAAAACTTCAGCGTATGAAAGGGATGTTATGGCTTATGCACATTGAAAAACATCAGATAATGCTTTAGAACCATCTCATTCACCAGCACACATCAATCCGGCTCCTGGCTTCTGCCAAGGAAACATTCCAAAATAATGCATTATTTTATTTCATTGACCACCTTGCAAAAGACAAACAGCAAACACATCACCACCAAAAACAAAAATAGTCAACAGGTAGGTACCAGCTGATCTAGCCGTGCTGTGTCATGTGCCTTTGAAAAACTTGAGCAGTCAGGGTTGAATAAACACCCCAAACTTAGCCATTCATGCATGAACAAGTGCAAATTCTGGTCGAGCATTTTAATAAAAATGAAACTAACAGCATTTTAGGTTACAATTATAAAAAAAGACAATTACAAAAAAACAGCAGAGCTTACTCTACAAGGCATAACCATTAATTTTATAACTGACATCCAAATTCGCATCTCCGAAGTTTAACCCACCTACCAGCCACCTGCACATTTCTGCGCACATGTGCTGCGCAGTGTGCACAGTCACTACACATTACACAATTATGAGAATTAAAATAGTTTTAAACAATCGAGCAAGTCAGGACTGGTATGCAGATTCACAAGTTCTCTCAACATCTTCAATTACCAACAATCAAGAGCACCTTGTGATCTCAGTAACTCCGCAGATTCATCTTCTGTTTTCCATTTTCAGTTTTCATTTGAAATATGAGTTCCATCTCGGAGACACATGTTGCATCATTATGTTTAAACAATTATTATGCTTGAACTATTGGTTTTTCATGTGAACTTTACTTCAAAAGTTGATTTAATAATTTGCATTTTGCATAATGCTACGATCACGGCGCACCAAATCACAGATAACTTGATAATAACCAGAGCTGGGCGCGTTCCTCGATTTTCGGTAGTGCGTTAGCGTTCCTGCGTTCCTCCGGCCGCGGTTAGTGCGTTCCTGGAATAGCGTTCCTCATTTTTTTTCGTTCGGTGCGTTAGCGTTCCTGCGTTCCTGCGTTCCTCCCTCAAAAATACCGCCGAACCACGCGGCGCGGGCCCAACCAAACACGGGGCGAATCGATCACAGAATACCCAGAATGGCGACGTGGGGCCGAAAAGCAACTCGACATCTCTTTTCCGAATCGAATATCTGAAATACGTTTTACGAACATCATCCGTAGGGTTTTCAACAAAAATACGACCTGCTTAAAAACAATAGTTAAGTTATAAGATGTAGGTATCTTAGTAAAAGTTATCATATTTATTTTACACATTTAATGCCTGAAACTGAACCGAATAGTAAACATCACCACTAAAAATCTTTACACATTTAATGCCTGAAATCGAATCGAATAGTAAACATCACCACTAAATCTAAGCAAGCCTTCTTCGATTCGACCGACAAGTGGCGCCTCTACCGGCAAACACACGTACTCGAGATTCAAACATTTGACACAGAGGTCATTGGCAGCAATATAATTTTTCGGGTGGTTCCGCAAGAACGCAGGAACGCTTCAAAATTTCGGGTTGTGCGTTCCTCTTACTTGCGTTCCTTTGAAAAACCTTGCGTTCCTGCGTTCTTGCGTTCCTAAAAAGGGCGGTGCGTACGTACGGAAGAACGCAGGAACGCACTAAAGGAACGCACTTGCCCAGCTCTGATAATAACCAAGCAAAAGCCACATTCTTCAGCAAACTATGAGTGCTATCTGATCCATGCTGCGTTGAAATAATTAAAAATCGCCAAAAACAGTCAAAATATGACAATTACATTAGTGTAAACTTCACAAAACTCTGATTTGTGAGGCAATGCGCAACAGAAATGCGAGGGAATATGGTAGTAATCTGGTAGCAATTATGAAGGATTTCCCCTGTCGCTGATAAAAAAACACACGAGACAAATTTTTTAACGCAGAGGAAATCCTTCATTATGAGTTGCAGGGACCATTTGATTGGCCCATTTTAGATAAATATAGGCCGAATGTTTCGATTTCAACCCCATTTATCGTAATGAGACGAATCCATTGGCTTAGTGGTACGTCTTTTGAACACATATAGGCCTTGGATTTCTCCTTAGCCCGCCTGAAACACACCATGCTTTGCATGTATTGCTATGGGTGAAGGAAAATTCATGCGCCGTGATGACGTCACGGTAAAGGAATTCTGAAGCTCGTGAACGGGGGCTGTTGGCGCTAGCTAGCCTCGGCGAATTTCCTGGTTTCGGTTCTCTGGGCAAGGGCAAGCCACGCCATGTGTGGATCGCCCATGATCGTAAATACAATACAATACGGTTCTCTGGGCAAGCCACGCCATGTGCGGATCGCCCATGATCGTAAATACAATACAATACAATACAATGCAAGGTGGAAGCAAGTAAAACGTCACTCAAGACGTCACTAACGCATTGGCCAATCGGTATTGGTTACTGTCGCCGCGGCGGGTTGTCAATGAACCGTTGCCGCTGTTCACGAACAGGGGCTTGTGCCTGCCCGTAAAGAACGATCCTAACCAAAGGGCCCTGTTTCACCGGTGATAGCAGCAAGCTGCTATCACGTTTCGCGAGCTGACGTCATGTCGTGACGCCATACTGTTGTCGTAATGGGCAGTTCCGGCGCACGATTGCCGCGACCTTGGCCGCGGCATTAAGTGACGTATGAGCCTTTAAAAGTACGAGTTTACGCAGTCATGATAGTATATTTATTTTCAATATATATTTTTTTTAATATGATGTATTTAAAAAAAGTTGGTTTTAAGGAAAATTTGGACGTAAACTTCGAACATTTAGTTGATGACGTAAAACAATATTGCGGCAATCGTGCGCCAGAATTATCCCTTACGTCAGCAGTATGACGTCATCACATTACGTCAGCTCGCGCAATTTGATAGTGGCGTGCTGCTATCACCGGTGAAACAGGGCCAAGGCTTGGCACTCCGCTTCTCTTGGTTTGTTATTATTTGTTTGTACCTTATTGTTATTACATAGCAGCCCATAAGAGAAGTTTCACTTTGTGTAGTAACTTACCAAAGGTTGCATCTTATCCATTTGGCCTGCTATATGCATGAGATGATTGTGATAAGCTTTCAGTGAGACACCTTTGATCACTTTAGAGAGGTCAAGCACAAGATTCTTCAAGATAGTCAAGTATTGGAGTAGCTCAGCTCAAAGAAGAGCCCAAAGGCAACATTTCAAGCTAGTCATGCGACTGACATGGTGTTCGCGAAGATTGCTCCTTGGTGGCTTTCAGTTTTCTTGCAGGACCTTATCACAAGGTGAGAAAGGAGTTTTGGTGATAATGATGGTTTCCAGCATTTACTGTACCTATATCTTATTTGGATTAAGGAGAGCTCTGGACCCATTTCAATTTATTTTTTTTTATTTACTAGTCTCAACTGAGTAAATGTGGCTTATTTCTCGGTTGCGGTTTTGGATTGCTATATAATGTGCTGATTGATCTTGGGATTGAAATACCAATGGTAGTATAACTGGGTTTCAGCACAATTATTGAATGGTGAAGAAGGTAGGTACCTACTAATGCAACCACAAATTCAAGAAGGAAGCTGATTATGTACAGACTATTAAACAATTTCAAAAGTTTTAACGCATCAAGACCCTGGAAGACTTGTGCTAAAATTTGGTAGTAACTGCTAAGAAGATGGGAGTTAACTGTGGGGGATTTCAGACTGCAGCCAAATTTTACATGGTCAGGGCTAGATGACTACCTACACCTGATTATCTAGAACACTGAAAGATCAAAAGATTTAGGAAAAGGACTTTGAATCCCTCAAGGCTTTCAAAATTTTAACAGCTATTTTTGGTACATCAGGACTGGTTCCATCATGCTTATTAGAACATCTAGATGCACATGTAGACTGATGTGTTTACCTTCAAAGCGGATCATACTGACTAAATCACAAGGCTACACAAAGTTGGAGGGCTGCCAAGACCAGCTCTTAGTGCCTCAATAACTTAGAGAAGTGTTGAGGATACTGAGCAATCACTGACTTTTAAAACTGCATATGGTGTCCCAGAAACAGACTGACAACACTATGCTATGAGATAAAGCTGGACAGGGTGCCAGATATTTAACCTCTTGCCCAAAAATGAGACCATTATGGAGAGAATAATGATGCTTAGGGGCTGGATTGCTGGTGTCCAATGCCATGTTCATGCAGGAGTGGATGCCAGCACATTTGTTATGAAAACTCATATAAGTGGAGCAGACAATAGGTATGCATGCCTTCTTGAAAAAAGACAGGTGTGGTTGGGTTGCCTGCTGAACCTGAATCTGAAGGAGGATCTGCAAGAGCTTTCCAACAGAACTCTTCAACTAGGAACCTTAGCCCATCATTTGGTTTCCAATCAGCCTAATGGGATGCCAGAGTGTGAAAGCAGTGGTTGAGAAGTTAGTTTATGCGATGAAAAATAAGATAGAAGATGCATTGTACCTAAGATGCATACCTAATAGTTTCTGGTGATTTTGGGCATTGTTACGTATCTTTCTGGACAGCCTGTACGTAATAGCTCCTTTATAGTCGTTATCTAAGTCATGATCGCGATGGATCCTGTGGTCGTAGGATTGGCTGTGTCTGAGCGTTCTGACCAGTTGTGCGGTTTTCCGGCAGCGGCGAGAGCTGAGCCGGCGCCGCCGGCGGGCCAGGCCGGCCCGTGGCACCTGTACACGGCCGTGTGCCTGCAGCGGCTGCCGGTGGTGGCGCCGCCGCTCAGCGATACGGAGCGCCGCTTCGCCGCCCTGCTGCGACAGCTCGAGTTCGAGCGCAGCCTCAAGTCCTCTCACGAGATTCGCCACGAGATGGACATGTGAGTACGACGTACCTACGTCCACAGTGGTTACCCACGACCCGTCGACGCCACCTCGTCTCCAGTTCTTGTGATATTGTGTGCTGAATGTTATATTATGTGCCCTGTTCCATCATTCCCTGACCCCACCATATCACAGAGGATTGTCTGTGGTCGGTCGACAGTCGTGCGTTAAAGCTGCCGTTTGGTTTTCTCAAAGTTGATAGTCACCTTTCGCCGACGTTGGGCCCACCAGGGGTGCTTTCCGTTACAACTACTGCCCTCGATACTGACGGGGCAGTGTGTAATCACCCATGGTGTGTCTGGTCCTCGACACTGGACGGGGCAGTGTGTAATCGCCCGTGGTGTGTCTGGTCCTCGACACTGGACGGGGCAGTGTGTAATCGCCCGTGGTGCGTATGGTCCTCGACACTGGACGGGGCAGTGTGTAATCGCCCGTGGTGTCTGGTCCTCGACACTGGACGGGGCAGTGTGTAATCGCCCGTGGTGTGTCTGGCCCTCGACACTGGACGGGGTAGTTTGTAATCGCCCGTGGTGTGTCTGGTCCTCGACACTGGACGGGGCAGTGTGTAATCGCCCGTGGTGTGTATGGTCCTCGACACTGGACGGGGCAGTGTGTAATCGCCCGTGGTGTGTCAGACCTCGACTCTGGACGGGACAGTGTGTAATTGCCCGTGGTGTGTCTGGTCCTCGACACTGGACGGGGCAGTGTGTAATCGCCCGTGGTGTGTATGGTCCTCGACACTGGACGGGGCAGTGTGTAATCGCCCGTGGTGTGTCAGACCTCGACACTGGACGGGGCAGTGTGTAATCGCCCGTGGTGCGTATGTCGGACAGCGCCACGGCCGAGGCGCTGCGGGCCTCCGAGGGCGACGACCCCGACCTGGCCGAGGCGGCCAGCCTGCAGACGGCCGCCGACTTCGAGGACGCCTGCGCCGAGGAGCTGGCCGGCTTCGAGCCGGCGCCCACCATCACAGGTGCGATCAGGGCACCGGGGCAGTGTCCGTCATATGCGGCCTCAGGGTACCGGAGAGTGTCCGTTATAGGCGGCCACAGGGGGGGGGGGGGGGCGGAGCAGTGCCCGCCACAGGTGCGCTCAGGGGTACCGGAGTAGTGTCCGTTGCAGGCGGCTGGGGAACCAGAGTATAATGTCCATTGTGTACAGCAGGGCTGCGGAGTCGATGGATTTTCGGCGACTCCGACTCCGCCTCCGACTCCGGCTTTCAAAAACCAGCTCCGACTCCGACTCCGACTCCGGGCAGAATTGTCGACTCCGACCGACTCCAACTCCCGACTCCGACTCCGCAGACCTAGCAGGGCTGCGGAGTCGACAGATTTTCGGTGACTCCGACTCCGACTCCGGCTCGGGTTTCTAAAATCGACTCCGACTCCGACTCCGACTCCGGTCACAACTGTCGACTCCGACCGACTCCGACTCCGACTCCGACTCCGACTCCGCAGCCCTGGTGTACAGTGTAGTGTCCATTGTGCAGGGTGTCCGGAAAGTCCTGGCGCTTTCCAACATTTTTGAAAGCAAATGCCACGGTGACTATGCAAATGCCTCTGGTTGATAGATAGTTAGGTACTCAACAAAAGATCAAAACAATTATCAGGGACCCCAAGCCACATACCTCCGCTAAGTGCTCATTCACTATAACCACCGTCTTCGCCGAGGACGGCATCGACGCGGGGGCGGAAGCACCTGCGTGTTTTGACAATGTAGGACATTTTTAAGTCCTCCCATGCTACCATGATGCGAGTATTCAACGACTCCAGGTTGGGATGAGAGAAGGCCCAGAGCTTATTCTATAAAACGCGTAGCACGCCTTAGTCGAGCGGGTTAAGGTTAGAAGAATAAGGCGGCCTAATCTCATTTCGCCAAGGTGAAATGACCGGCCGAGCTCCTCCGTCAGCATGGCTTGAGCGGCAGCGGCGTTGTTGGAGGGCGCTCCTCCGTGTTGTTGAAAATTGAAATGCGAAGTGACCCATAGGGCAAGTCGCCTTGACTCTCGGGCTGATGTGCCTGTTCATGAGGAATCCCTCGTGGACCAGCCTGTTTTTTTCATTTATTTGACATTGACGAAGATATGGGACATTTTTGTCCATCATACCCCTGGATTTTCTTCGATTGACGCGGAAATGCTGCTAAGTTCTCGGCAGTTTTGACATAGTGTGGTCGTACCGGTCTGGGGGATATTTCTAAAGGAATTCTGGAGTCGGAATAAGCCTTCACCTGCTCAACCATGCGCCAAAAACCGCCGCATCGCGTTGTAACTCGCACCTCGTTCAAGCCGCACGTGGCCGTCGCGCGCAGGCATTCCGCGACAAGGCGCATCTTCGCTCATCAACCCATCACTAAAAACGATTTCAAGGCCATATTTGCACGACCCCTGGCAGAGTGGCCAACTAGGGGTCATGTCTGTGGTGATTGGCTGAATGTCCAATAATCACAGCGCGCGTTAGACGGCGTCCAATAGAAGCGCCAGGACTTTACGGACACCCTGTTGGGGGTTTCAGTAGGATGTGGGATGTTCTGTACTCTTTGGGCGCAGTAGGCTGCGGGGTATTTCATTTTCCAAACATAACAAAACTCCCGTAACCATTTATCAATATCTGATCAGCGTATGTAGCTGGCAGTGCAGTGGCTGGTTTGGATCGTTCCCTGCGCGCAGCTGACAGTGGCGATTCGCCCAGTTCCCTGTTCGCAGCTGACAGTGGCGATTCGCCCACTTCCCTGTGCGCAGCTGACAGTGCGCTGGTCGCCCCGCTCCCTGCTGACAGAGTTGAGCTGGTCCTGGCCAGTGTCTGTAGCTGACAGTGCGCTGGGTGGCCCGCTCCCTGCGCGCAGGGTCCTGGCCAGTATCTGTAGCTGACAGTGCGCTGTGTGGTCCGTTCCCTGCGTGCGGGGTCCTGACTAGTGTCTGTAACTAACAGTGCGCTGGGTGGCCCGCTCCCTGTGCGCAGGGTCCTGGCCAGTATCTGTAGCTGACAGTGGTGATTCGCCCCGTTCCCTGCTGACAGAGGCGGACCGGGCCGGCGACCAGCGCTCCCTGCAGAGGCGGCTGTCCAGTCGGCTGGTGCTGGTGGTGCAGCAGCGACTCGGCGCGGGCACCAGCTGGATGCTGCCGCAGGGCCGCCACCAGGACGGCGCCACGCTCAGACAGGTGGGGGAGGGGCTGCCGGCGACACGCTCAGACGTGGGGAGAGGGGCTGCCGGCGCCACGCCCAGACAGGTAGGCAGAGGGGCTGCCGGCGACACGCTCAGACGTGGGGAGAGGGGCTGCCGGAGACACGCCCAGACAGGTGGGCAGAGGGGCTGCCTGAGGCACGCCCAGACAGGTGGGGCTGCCGGAGCCCGGCCGCTTAGCTCACCAGTTCACCACACCAGCGGCCGGGCACTCGCAGCTGCGGGCCATTGGGGCAGCGTGGGACGTCACCTTAATTTGTTCTGTGCATGGTTTGACTTTTCTGCATCGTGATAGCCGTATACAGTATCAAAGCGTCGCGTGTCCTGACAGGATCCGCCCTGCTTACCGACTCGATGGATTGTCATCTCGCCCATGTCGACTGCCGAGTACGGCCTATACTGGCCTGTACCGCCGCCAGTGCCAGTGACACCAGCCCATCCCGATCGGGAGCAAACAATCAGCGCCGAGGAGCGGCCCGAGCCGGGCTCTCACTACCGGCCCGCTGGGAGGGGGTTCCTGCAGCTGTGCTGCTGAGGTGGACAGTAAGGACACCGGGCGTCAAATGACGCTACTGGGAGGAGGGATTCCTGCCGTGCTGCCGAGGTGGACATGGACACCGGGCGTCAAATGACGCTACTGGGAGGAGGGATTCCTGCAGCTGTGCTGCCGAGGTGGACAGTTGGACACTGGGCGTCAAATGACGCTACTGGGAGGAGGGATTCCTGCAGCTGTGCTGCCGAGGTGGGCATGGACACCGGACGTCAAATGACGCTACTGGGAGGAGGGATTCCTGCAGCTGTGCTGCCGAGGTGGGCATGGACACCGGACGTCAAATGACGCTACTGGGAGGAGGGATTCCTGCAGCTGTGCTGCTGAGGTGGACATGGACACCGGGCGTCAAATGACGCTGGCTCTGCCAGTAATTGTGACCCGTCGCATTGACCTGTTTTACAGACGGCTGAGCAGACCCTGCAGGCTATGGTAGGACCCAACGTGAACGCGCAGTTTCTGGGCAACGCGCCGTGGGGCTTCTACAAGTACAAGTACCCGAAGCCGCTGCAGCAGGAATCGGGTGCCGTCGGCGGCAAGGTATGGTAGACGGACGGCTTGGGCAGGGGCGTCGACGCGTAAGGAAAACTGGTCCGACTTTTTCTCGGGGGCCCCCAACGGTGGGGGGGCCCCCGCGAAGGGCCCCGCGAAGGCGCAGCAGGGCCCCCGCGAGCCGCAGCGGGGGGCCCCCGTTGCCGCAGCAGGGGCCCCCGTGGCCGCAGCAGGGCCCCCCGTGGCCGCAGCAGGGCCCCCCGAGAGCCCCAACAGGGGCCCCCCGCGGCCGCAGAAGGGGACCCCGCGGGCCGCAGCAGGGTCCCGCAGTGTCTAGCAGGGCCCCAGAGGCGCAGCAGGGCCCCCGCGGTCTCTAGCAGGGCCCCCCGAGCCGCAGTAGGGCCCCCGCGGTCTGCAGCAGGGGCCCCCGCGAGCCACAGCAGGGCACCGCCTAGTCGAAAAAGTGGTCCGACTAGTCGGAAAAGTCGGACCGGTGTCGACGCCCCTGGGCTTGGGCCCGGATCGCGAAATGTCAGCTTCTTCGTTACTCTGCAGTGTTAGTGTTACCGTTGCTGTATGTCAATTTTAGCCAGTTTTTTCCCTAATTTTACATTGAAAATTATATGTGCCTCTCATGAACAGGAAAATGTGTAAAATGGAAAAGTTACACCATTACACCTTTGCACATGGTACAATAGTATGTGCCACCCCAAGTGGAACACCTCAATGTATGTCTGGGTTTGAGCCTTGTTCATGCACGATATCTAGAAATGGTTAATAACGTTAGGCGTAACCCGCGCATGACTGGGGTATTTTCCATAACGCGACCCCCTCCCCCCCCCCCCCTCCTATCTCCGAAACTACTGGGCCGATCGTCAAAATTCAAACGGCGTCTGATAGCCCTGGAAAAACTGTCGAGCGAAACCTATTTTCATTGACGATCGGCCTCGAGGTCACCGATGACGTCACAGGTCAGGTCAAAGTAAAAAATTTGCATTTTTGCTTGTTCATAATTTAGGCTCTCACTGTCGGCTGACAAGTCCGATCAGGCTCATTTTTGGTTTACGCGCTCTTTGATATATGCCTTAGATACCCCGAGGGTACCGAACTTTTACTTCGAATTTTTTAGGTCAAGTCAGGTCATCCTGGCTCAAGAAAATTGTATATCATATCATATATCGGTCACGTGACGCATGTTTTGTGGTCCATTTTACATAGAAATTGTAAAATGTGAAATGTAAAATGTATTCACAGCTTTCGAAAGCAATGTTGTCTGTGTCATTTGAGGTCATTTTCAGCTGAATATACCGGAGGTCAGGTCACTTTCAAGTCAGAAAAGGTCAAATTTTGAAAATGAATTTTTTTCAACAAAAAAGGTGCCTATCAGATGCAATTGGAGCTCAGGAACACGATGCTGCCATTTATATTGCTCTACGATGTCAAAGACGTACTGAAAAATGGTTTTGAATAATTGTAAAATTGTAAAATTTGTAAATAAAATTGTAAAAATTGAAAATTTGTAAAAATTTTGACAATAGTGCAAAAAACTTGGCTATTTTTTTAAAATATTGGGCTAAAACTTACTAGAGTATTTCATCGGTACGTGTTCTATCATATATATTTCGGTTTTTGCGAAAAATGAAAAAAAATGTTTGGAAAAATTGTAATTGTAAATACATATTTTCTAAATTTTCAGAATTTCGAAAATTCGAGATAGCAGTCTGATAGCTACGTATATTTGTAGTCCACTCATGCAAAGAAATTGGATCTAGCTTTAAAACTGAGCTCTTGAGAGCGTTTGCCGTAATTCAATATTTTGCATCAAAATCGGCCTATATGACGTCACTCTGACGTCATTTCCGGCCAAACTATGGTAGCTAGAAAGTTGGAATTTTAAAACAAGGTGTCAAATTGATGCCGCTGAGGGTACCGCAGGTTGCGTGTTGATCCGTCAAACGGTTTAGAAAATATTGCCGAAAAACCGGAGGGAGGGGCTCTGTAGACCCCCCCCCCCCCCCCAGTCATGCGCGGGCTAATGAGGTGTTCCACCCTGGCCCCGTCTGATTCGCGGACGAGTTGGTGATCCCCGGATTGGTCTCCCTGGTGTGGCAGTTAGTGGTTTGTTTTGTGTCCCCGTCTCCCACTGCCGCTGACGCGCCACGGGGGCCGCCGACAGGTGTTTTTCTACAAGGCGGTGCTGCGCGGCGGCTCGGTGGAGCCGGTGGCCGACCGGGTGGCCGACCACCGCTGGCTAACGGCGGCCGAGCTGGGCGGTCAGCTGCGCTCCAGGTACCGGCGGGCCGTGCACCGGCTGCTCATAGACCACGACTGAGGGCCGGCCGCCGGCTCCATAGACCACGACTGAGGGCCGGCCGCCGGCTCCCATAGACCGTGACTGAGGGCCGGCCGCTCATAGACCGCGACTGAGGGCCGGCCGCCGGCTCCCATAGACCACGACTGAGAGCTGTGCACCGACTGCTCATAGACTGCGACTGATGGTACTCGCCTGCGGCGCCAACTGGAGGCATCCCAGCCGAGCGTTATCCAGTGCAGTGTCAGCAGTCAGCACCAACCTCCTGTGTATGGGTGTGTGTGTGTTTTACGCGTGCAGACTGCGCCGTCATGACGGATAAATGTTCCGTGTGTCATAAATATGTCGTGTGTTAAACCTTGTTTGTCAATTGTCATCTTTCACAAGAAAATGTTGAAATACCTACGAGCGTGAATCATGTTTGCTTTTAATGCAACTACGGGATAACAGGCTACTAAGAAATGTGCTCATTTTCAGTGTCCGCGATTTCGATTTGAGTGTACTGGTGGGCCTCCGAAACATCTGAATCCAGCCGATCCAATGCATCCAGTCATTGCTTCTTCCTGTGCTGAGGGCTCGTTCAGTATTTCCCGAAATTGTCCGTCGGCTGTTACTGTATCCATCGGCAGACGACCGAGCCGGGGAGACCGAAACCTGCCCCCATTTACGACAATGGGACGTTGAAAGGGTCGTTTTCCCCGGCTCTACCCGGCTGCAGATTTTCACAGCATCATGTTTGTTCTTGAGCCCAGTTGAGCATACTCCGCTCATCTGTCACGCGCTACGCAGTCGACATGACTTCGTAAATCATTTGTAGGACGAAATAGAATGTGCTTGGAATCGACGCCTACGTGGTTAGGAGACAGCCATGTGTCATTCATGACAATATGGATATATTTAAGGACGTTTTTTCCCACGCGCACGGTGGAAAGGTACACGAGGTGACGCTACAGTGAAGGACGGCACAATTATGCACATTGCACAACAGTCACCGATGCCACTTTACGATGTCTTGAAAGGAATGTGCATATAATTGCCACTGTAAGGTGGCCGCCATGGACGCCATCAAGCGCTTCGAACATTACTGTCATGCATCCGAGTTCCGACAACTATTCAACAAGTCTCATTAAAAAAACACCGTGCTTGTTCAGAGATAGCACAGCTTGTGGCTTAGTGCGGTAAATGCCGAAATGAGCCAAAGCCCGAAAGTAAGGCATATTTGCTAGTTTATGTAGCAAGGTTGGCTCTACATGCGCGACTATACAATGCTCAATGGTAAATGCTACGAACAGTGCGATAACCGAAGAAGCTCTTCGGGGTTGGGTATGGATTGGTCAGTTCGTATTTAGGTATGTTCGTGGTTTATTTCGTATGGTTATCAGGGTCCACCCCAATTATCAAAGTGCCTATGCACGCAATTTATAAATGACTATGGCTGTATTGGTAGGTATGGATTGGGCAAGTCATAAGGCGCTGATAAATGCGATTGCAAAGTATGCTGATAATATCAATATTGCCCAAAGGTGTGGTAACATGATATGTTAATATGAGTTTGCGGTTTTGTACGTGTAATAAAAATATGCAGTGGGAAATATCAGCTGTTCACTGTCGTCTTCTTTAGCCATATGTGGCGCATATGCTTTTTATTTTACGATCTTTGGCTCAAAACTGCCTTTTGACCGCCTGCCGCTGGTTCTTGACCAGAGAAGGTAGGTCAATCTATGAAAAATATTAATTTGTTGATTGTTCACGGTTCACTGCTATCATACTAGCTGATTCTCAAATAGTTAGCAACTGTTTTGCTGATTTTGTAGCAGTATGGGGATGTGTATGAGATAATCATTATTTCAATTAAATTGAAATGGGTTCAGGCTTTCCAATATTGATATCAATATTGATGGTGCTTCATCTTGGCTCCAACAGAAAACCTGTTAGGGATTTCCATACATTTTTGTTAAACCTTTCTTGTAAGATTGTTTGCTTATCTTGTCTTGATCATTTACAATGAAGGCTCAAATGTTACGTAAGGCTGTCGGAAGAGTGTAGGCATGCCCTGAGGCCTAAGACAAACTCTCACTTGTTATCCTTACCTATGACTGTTCTGTAGCCAGTTAACTAACAGAAAGACGACTTAATGTGGTTAGTTTTTGGTGAAAGTAGTCTGTTTTTGCTTTGAGTGCCCCTTTCCCGAATTTTGCCAGTTGTACTAAAAGATCATTGCTGATGTAAAAAAATAATATCAGAGTCATAGGTATCAAACTGATGTTTTCATATGAGGTTTTATTATCCTGTGGCTATTCAAAATGTGGGAGACTCTAGGAAAAATACTGGCAGCTGGCATTTTTTTCAGTCAGTGAAATAGGCCTCTGCTGGGTGCTTTCCTGTCCTTCAACCATTGCAATTGGTAACCAGCATCCAGGGACCGCGGATTCCGGGGGGCAGGGTGTGCAATTGCACACCCTGAAAATCCTGAGGGTGTGCAAACACCTATTTTTGCACACCCACAGTTCGTTGTGGGGGCCCTTGCGGCCCTGGCGCTTGAGCGTCCCAAGCCGATTCTCGAGGGCCCCAGCGCGAGCCTGATGGTCCCGCACCGGTGCCTGAAGGCGTGAACACTAGTGAACAGGTTCTAGTGTTATCTCAGGGGTTATCTCAAAACCCCACCCACGCCATCTTTTAGCGCTCCCACCGGCTCTTAAGGGCCCAGGCCGATGCCCGAGGGCCCCAAGTCGATGTCTAAAGGTCCCACGCCGGTGTCTGAGTACCTGCATGGCTAGCTCAGGGATCCACGCCAGTTTCTGAGGGCCCTAACCGGCTCTTGAGGGCCCCTGCCCCCTGCCCTTCTTAACCCCCTCTTGGGGCCGATGCCTAAGGGTCCCGCATCAGCACCTGAAAGCCCACAGAGTTATCTCAGGGCCCCATACCAGTTTCTGAAGGCCCTCACCGGCTCTTGAGGGCCCCAGACCGATATCCAAGGACCTCTGGCCAATGCCCGGGGGCGCAGGCCGATGCCCGAGGGCCCCAAGCCGTTACCCGAGGGCCTTACACAGCTATCTCAGGGTACAATGCCACTTTCCGAGGGCCCTAACCGGCTCTTGAGGGCCCCAGGCCGATTCCTGATATCCCCAGGCTGATGTGAGAGGGCCGACCGACGCAAGTAGGCAGCCCCTGAGGCGGCCCCTATACGTCAGTTTCTAAGGGCGTCCACGACCGCCGTCTGGTCAAAGCTGATCTCTGAGGGCCCTACGCAGGTTTTTAAGTGCACTCAGCTCTTGTTTAGGATCTCACACCGGCCTCTGAGATCGGATGGCTTATGCATGCCGCAGAGGAGCCCTTACCGGCTCCTGAGGGCTCCTTGCTGATAGTTGAGGGCCCCATGCCAATACTCGAGAGTCCCACTCAGTAATCTCAGCGCCCTACACCAGTTTGAGGAACGCCGCTCGGCCAAGGCCGACCTCCGAGGAAAAGCCCTTTGCAAGCCTCGGAGTGCCCTCACTTTCTTTTTTAGGATCTCACACCAACCTCTGAAGTCGCAGGGCTAAAGGATGCTTCTGATAACCCTCACTAGCTCGGACCCAAATCGATGCATGATGACCCGACAGAAGTGCCTGAGTAGCCCACGCAGTAATCTCAGGGCTCACACCAGTTTCTGAGGGCCTACACGAACGCTTTTTGGCCAAGGTCGATGTCTCGGGGCCCTATTCAGGCATCGAGGCTACTCGGACGCCAAGAGACGGTGGGGGACCTCCAGGCGAGCTTGCTTGGTAGTAGTTGGTACCCCATGGAGCCGGCGAACGGTGTCAATGAGCCCGGTGTGGGGGCCCAAGAAGCGGCGTGGGCATCCATATGTCTATGACATGAGGTATTCCAGAGACCGTTATGGGACCTTCAAAGACCGTGTGCGGTGCGCCGGTGACCCTTAGAATTGCCGGCGTTGGGTCTCAGGAGCTGGCGTGCGGCCTTTATGGGGCCCCAAAGCCAGCGTGTGGGCCGTAGAGCAATGGAGAAGCTAAGGGGGCCGGAGGCCAGACCCCCATAGGTCATAGGGGCCAAATCGATGGGCCCAAACATCCCGCCGGCCGTGTTTTATTTTTAAACTTATTCATGTAATCCATGATAAAAAGAAGTGTGCCAACATCAACTGTGCAAAAGGGCTCTCTGAGGCCCGTAGGGGCCCTTGAACGTCACTGTAAGCCTTTAGGGGCCTGCTTGGGAAAATCTGAGATCGATTTGGATCACGTTGCATGCGTGCATGTGCATTTACTCTGCTCATGCATCTCCTGACCGTAAGATGCTCGCTCAGTCATCTTACGACCGTCAATTTTGAAGGTTTTCCCGCCCCGCTTCCTTAGAACCGGCTTATTCCGGAGCAGTGGCGGCGCTGACTTTTTGGAAGGGGCCCGGCGTGAGATGGGGGCCCAATAGCCACATCTTGCACACCCTACGAGAATTTGAATCCGCGGTCCCTGCCAGCATCAGCATGCTGTTTACTTCTTTACACTTAGGTGCTTGTTTGTCATTAGCAATGCTGTTTGACATAAGAGATTTATAATGTTAAGCAAGAGGTATGAAAAGTCATATAAGTGGGCTGAAACTTTGGACAAATCTGTCTTTAAAACATTGCTATTTTGGGGGCAGGTTTGGGGCTACCTGAGCAGATAAAGTTGCTTTGCTCTTTAAATGGAACAAAACAATGACAAACAGAGGCAAATTACTGTTGATAATGATAAAGATACTCTCCCTTGTTGATGAACTTGTCTGTCAAATGATTTTTGCAAGATAACGGTCCTTGAAATTAATAGAAGAGTAATTTTTTTCTTTTCTTTTTTTTTTGCTTGCTCAGTTTTCTTCAAAAATATCCAAAATATTAAATAAAAACGTGCAGGAAAATGGTTGTTGCACCACACATCACATCATATCTTATTCTTGGTGAGGCACACCACAGTCACACAATTATTGCACACAGTTTAGGACACTGCAGTCCAACCATATACCAACCATGCAACCATACAAAGTTTGTGTCAAACACATCAACTACATGGAACAGATTGGTCATCTGTCATCCTGTTACCAGGCCTTCCTTAGCTCCCCTTCAACACATAGGTATTTGATTTGGCCCTCTTTCTCTTGATTTTTTTTTCAACTAAAGAGTTTTGTGAATGGTAGATGCCAGATGGTTTATCACCCATGTTATCTGTGTACCTATGGTAATGTACCCATTACCTAGGCGTGGGAATGAGTTTTTTAATTCTTGTGTCAAACTGTGACAAGAGTTGAGATGCAGACTTTTGGCTGTATTGAGGTTGTGTTGATTTGGGTTGTTTTCTCCTTTCCAGGTGACTCGTGCCTCCCAGCGGTGACGTTATTCTGTCCAGTGAGCACGCCGAGCGCGGTCCCCTCTCGCGATGCAGGCTGTAGCGGCGCTCCGCCAGGTGCGGGTGGCCTCTCTGGCGCGTCTGCCGGCCGCCCTGCAGTGGCGCACCTACTCGGACTCTGCGCAGCACGACGCCGACCTGGTTGTGATCGGCTCCGGACCCGGCGGCTACGTGGCCGCCATCAAAGCCGCCCAGCTCGGACTCAAGACCGTCTGTGTGGAGAAGAACGAGACGCTGGGCGGCACCTGCCTCAACGTCGGCTGCATCCCGTCCAAGGCGCTGCTGCACAACTCGCACCTCTACCATGAGGCCGTGCACGAGTTCAAAAACCGAGGCATCGACGTCGAGGGCGTCAAACTCAACCTGGAGCAGATGATGAACACAAAGAAGAAGGCCGTATCCGGCCTCACCTCCGGTGTCGCCTACCTCTTCAAAAACAACAAAGTGACGCACGTCAAGGGACACGGCACCATCACCGGCACGAACGAGGTGACCGCTACGGCCGCCGACGGCTCCAAGGAGGTCATCAAGACCAAGAACATCCTGATCGCCACCGGCTCCGAGGTGACGCCGTTCCCGGGCATCGAGATCGACGAGGACACGATCGTGTCATCGACGGGCGCCCTCTCGCTGAAGCAGGTGCCCAAGAAGCTGGTGCTGATCGGCGCCGGTGTGATCGGCCTGGAGCTCGGCTCGGTCTGGTCGCGGCTGGGCGCCGAGGTCACGGCCGTCGAGTTCCTCGGCCACGTCGGCGGCGTGGGCATCGACGCCGAGGTGTCCAAAAACTTCCAGCGCATCCTCGGCAAGCAGGGCATCAAGTTCAAACTAGGCCACAAGGTGACCGGCGCCGAGCGCAGCGGCGACAACATCTCCGTCTCGGTCGAGAACGTCAAGGACTCGAGCAAGAAGGAGACGCTGGACTGTGACGCGCTGCTGGTCTGCGTGGGCCGTCGGCCCTACACCGACCGGCTCGGCCTCGAGAAGATGGGCATCGAGCGCGACGAGAAGGGCCGCATCCCGGTCAACTCGCGCTTCCAGACGGTGATCCCCAACATCCACGCTATCGGCGACTGCATCCACGGCCCGATGCTGGCGCACAAGGCCGAGGACGAAGGCATCGTGTGTGTGGAGGGCATCGCCGGCGGCCCGGTGCACATCGACTACAACTGCGTGCCGTCCGTCATCTACACCTTCCCCGAGGTGGCCTGGGTGGGCAAGACCGAGGAGGACCTGAAGGCCGACGGAGTCGAGTACAAGGTCGGCAAGTTCCCCTTCTCGGCCAACAGCCGCGCCAAGACCAACCAGGAGACGGACGGCTTCGTGAAGGTGCTCGGCGACAGCGCCACGGACCGCATGCTGGGCGTGCACATCATCGGCCCGGGCGCCGGCGAGATGATCAACGAGGCCGTGCTGGCCATGGAATACGGCGCTTCGTGCGAGGATCTGGCGCGCGTCTGCCACGCCCACCCCACCTGCTCCGAGGCACTGCGGGAAGCCAACCTGGCCGCCTACTGCGGAAAGGCCATCAACTGCTAGGCGACGGCGGCTCGGCTCGGCTCGGCAGTCTGTGGACTGCGGAGCGGGGAGGGCTGCTGCAAATACTATTGAGTGATAGACGGACGCGGGCTCCGGTGGAACGGAGTCTGTCATGTGAGTTGGGATCGATGAACGCCACAGCGGGTACGGGAGCCGGCGGCGCTCTGAGCCGCGCTGTACGGGGAGCCGGCGGCGCTCTGAGCCGCGCTGTACGGGGGGCCGGCGGCGCTCCGAGCCGCGCTGTACAGGGGTCGGCGGCGCTCTGAGCCGCGCTGTACAGGGAGCCGGCGGCGCTCTGAGCCGCGCTGTACGGGGGGTCGGCGGTGCCGTAACAAGGTCCCCGGGTGCATCGTGCCGGGGGTCTGTTAGTTCACCTGATCTGGTAAACGTCTAAACGCATTATGCATTTTCTTCAATTATTCTCAAGGTAATTTTTGGAGAAGTTGAGGTTCCGAGTCGCTGCCAGTGTGGTGTTTGTTGAACGGTCATGGTCATCGGTATGAATGCCACCTTCTGCCCCGTAGTGCGCGCGTGTAGATATTTCATGACTGATATATGTTTTATCCGATACTAAAAACTGTGTGGTGCTCTCGGTTGTTGTTATGTTCTGGTTTCGAATACAGATGTGTCTGTGCCCGAGACTCGCGTATTGTAACGGTACTCGGTAGAAGTTCCTTGTGCACTGCCTCCAAACCGGAGTGCGTTTGTCATCAGTTCGGTGGTGCAATAAGTGAACATACGCGAGCTTCGACCTCGAAACTCTGCCATTCGGCCCAGTTTGCTTTTTCATCCAAATTCTACCTTGGGTTATTGAAAATCCATTAAATTTTGAAGTACATGCCTTAGATAGTTGGATCGTTAAATTGTTATTATTATGTTAAAAACGTTTCGCATCAATGTTAAAATTTGTCTGCTTTTCACGACAATTATTAACTTAGGAGAAGGGTTAAACTGCACGTGTGGGCGGCCTGGCACAGCGAATTCGAGGATCGTCAATGGCTTAGAAACAAGCCGCAATGAATTTCCATGGATCGTTGCAATCAGGTAAGGTAGTTATCGTACATTTTATGTTGTATCCAGCGATTAGGTACCCTAAAAAGCAATGCTTTTCAGCTGCAATTAACTTCTTTTGTTGTTTGTACCCAAGTTCGCTATCTGAATCTATCACACCTCCGTATGACAGCCGGTCCACCGGGTCCAGGCAGGGTTAGGAAAGGAAGCCCCAGTGAGTAGTGGTGTCAGCGTCTACCACTCTGCATGTAGTGGGTGTGGTCACACTGAATAAATCCCCGATGGTGACGGCGGTGCGGCAGGAAGCGGACGTCGCCGATGGCCACCATCCCGAACCTGCCGTACTGCGCCGGCAGCCTCGTCTCGGACTCGTTCGTGGCCACGGCGGCGCACTGCCTGGCCAACCTGCGCTCGCCCACACAGTGGGAGATGTCCGAGGTGGTGCTGGGCATGCACTACGCGCGCAGCAGCCCGCCAGAGGTGCAGGTGCGCGGCATCAAAAGGTACGTGTTCACCTCCCTCCTCTGAACAGGCATCACTACCCAGTAAACATGCCGACGTCGGCCCGACGTCGGCCGACGTCGGGGTGACGTCGGCAACTCGGCGTCGGCATGCCGACGTCGGCCCGACGTCGGTTCAACCTCGGCACGACGTCGGCTGGATGTCGGATATGCCCGCATGTTCCGACGTCCAGCCGAGGTCCAGCCGACGTCGGGCCGACGTCGGACCGAGATCAATTGCTGAGGTCCAGCCGACGTCGGGGCGACGTCGGACCGACATCGGCCGCTGTTTTGACCGTTAAAATAATATAAAATACATGTTTCATGTTTCATAAAAAGCTTCTGTATTCAAAATATCCTCAGGAAACTCAAATCTTCCTCCACGCCGCAACCCGGCCTGATCCGGACTGGACGGGAAACTTTATCCCATTTGGGATTGCCCGTAAGCCGAGCTCGCCCGTAGCCGGGTGCGGTAAGTGCTTGGGGGCTGCTCGGCCTATCCTTTGGTCAGGCTCAGCCCCGGCAACTCACCAGGGCCGGGCCCAGTTCATATAGAAAGCCCAGCCGGCAAGTGTCACTTTGCCAAAGTGCCACTTATCAAAGGGACACTTTGGGAAACGTTGGTGCAGGTGTGTAAGAGTGGCTATATGAATCCATTGTGGGGTCGCCCTTTCCAATAAGTGTCACGTAACAGCAATGGGACTCTTTATGAACTGGACCCAGGGTGCTTGCCAAGAAGACCAATGTCTCCATCCTATGATCCTTCCGGCTCTGAAATGGTCTTGTCAAACCGAAAGGGCATAACCCGACAAAACAAACCAATTACGCTAGCCGGCTGCGTGGTGTAGTGGTTAGCGCACTAACCTCGCGTTCGAATGACAAGGGGTTTGAATCCCATCGCCGGCTGATGCTTTTGGCGTATTGTCCCAGTAAACATGCCGACGTCGGCGACTGGGGGGCTCGAATCCCGCCGCCGGTTGATATTTTTGGCGCGTTGTCCCAATAAACATGCCGACGTCGGCCCCGTCGGTCCAACGACAAACAATCTCGTCAACCTCGGCAAACGATCTCGGGCCGACGTCGGCTCGACGTCGGCTGGAGTTCGGCTGGACGTCGGAACATGCGGGCATATCCGACGTCCAGCCGATGTCGGGCCGAGGTTGAACCGACGTTGGGCCGACGTCGGGCCGAGCCTCGGCCCGACGTCGGGCCGACGTCGTCATGTTTACTGGGTATGGGATGGCGATATAGTGAGAAATTCCGCTCCGTATGCACTGGCGGGCTGTCGGTGCCGACCGCAGGTACATCGGTGCCATGACCCCTAACAAGACCCTTCCCCCGGCCCCGGCTCGCACACCACGGCCCCGGCTTAGTCCGCCGGTATTCCTATACGGCAACAGAGCGCCTGCAATCACACTAAGCCGCAGTGATCAGTCTTTTCACCTTTCGCCGCTAGATGGCAGTAGCAGAACGCCTGCAGTTATAATGTGCCGCAATGACCTGTAACTTTATCTCTCGCCGCTAGATGGCAGCAGCAGAACGCCTGCATTTATACTGTGCCGCAATGACCAGTAACTTCACTGCTCGCCACTAGATGGCAGGACCAGAACGCCTGCAGCTATGCTGTGCCGCAATGACCAGTAACTTCACCTCTCTCCACTAGATGACAGTAGCAGAACGCCTGCAGTTATACTGTGCCGCAATACCCAGTAACTTCATCTCTCGCCACTAGATGGCAGCAGCGGAACGCCTGCAGCTATGCTGTGCCGCGATGATCAGTAACTTCACCGCTCGCCACTAGATGGCAGGAATTGAACGCCTGCAGTTATACTGTGCCGCAGTGATCACTGATCAGTGACTCGGCCCGTTGACAGCAATAATAGGCATCAATGAGTGTTAGGAACGGTCAACGGTGGCTAGGAAACTGTGACGGGGCCATGCAGATCGCTGTGACATAACACGGCACTGGTTGCGCCGTCTGCGCCAGGGCGGTGATGAAGGTGCAGTACCGCAATGAGAACAAGGACAGCGACATCGCGCTGATCGAGCTCGACCGGCCCGTCAACATCTCCGCGGTCATCTACCCCATCTGCCTGCCGTACGATCTCAAGTAAGCCGCCCGGAATTAACCGCCAAACCGTGGTAGGCTCCTGGTGGGCACCTTGCCCCAAAAGACGGTAAATAACTTTTGAAAATACCCATCTCCAATTTTAGTGTTTTCTGGACCAAAATTTTGCGAGGAATCCGATGGTGTGGTCCCCGAGATCTGAAAAATTTCCATTTTGGAGATAGCACCTATTTTTTTTAAATAAGTAGGGGAAAGTGGGTGTATTGCGCCTTCCTAACCAATTGCGCCCACCAACATTCCCACGGATTCAATGGCATGTTTAGAATTTTGTGTTCGAAAACATTATTTAATATTTTCACCACTGGATAGTTAATTTTATGGCCCAAGCTCTCCGATGAAGCCAATCAGCAAGGCTCATTACGCCATCAAAGATGGTTTGGCGTTTTCTTAGCTTTTTTGCAGTATGTTGAACCGTTGGCTATAAAAATTTTGCGATATTTGTGTGATTTTCAGAGTGATATTTAGAAAGAAAAGCCCTTTTTTCATTATATTTCGCTGAAACAGTTTACATCCTTCAACATCTTTATGATAACTTCTACGCTTTTATCAAAAAGTACCTCAATTTTAATTGCACCATGGCAATTGCGCCAGGGGGGGGGGGGGGCGCAAATATAATAATGGTGTAGCTATTGTATCACGACAGTATGAATGCATCATTAACTGATTGCAATAAAGAAGGAGTTTAATGTCAGGCAGGAGAGCAGCCCGCTGTCGTCAGTCCGCAAATTATTTCTCTCGTCAAACTTATAATACAACTGCCATTTAGGCTACGACTTGTGGTGTAATTGACAAAATACGACATATTCACCATGGGCTCAGGCGTGAGAGGTGACAGCTATGATAAAAATGTAAAAACTGATGTCATAAAGTTGTTGAAACGATAAAAATTATTAACCCTCGCCCCGTTGGGGGGGGGCCATTTTGGCCCCCCCCTGTGGTTTTTCCTGAATAGCAAGAAAACGGCGGCGCGCAGCGCCGCCAAATTTTCAGTACCTTCCCGGGCATCAATTTGACACCTTCACACCAAATTTCAAGTCTTAGGTCACCTTAGGTCAGGAGTTATTGAGGTCAAACTGAGGTCATGTTCGAGCAAAAATGAGCAAAAAACATGCAATCTTGAAACGCTCACCAAATCTACAGTTATCAAGCAATTTCAAAGTTCTTTATATGGTGTAGTAGACAAAAAGCGGCGCTACAAAACTGCTATCTCGAATTTTCAAAATTTTTGGTTTTTGACCAAAAAAAATTCAAAAAATTGATTTTTTTAGAAAAAACTTTGAAAAAATCCAAAACTTTTCCGAATTTCGAAAAAACCGGAATATATGTGATAGTCCCAGCGCTCTTCTATATACATACCAAATTTCAGATCGATATCTCGTTTTTTGGCCAAGTTATAGCGAAAAAACTGTTCAAAAATGATGACGTCAAATTTTTGAACTCAATTTTTAGCAATTCTAGACCACGTACGGCAAAACAAAGACCACCATTGAACTCCCCGTGACGAGCTGCATCGATTCGATACCCATTTTATGCAAAAATATCAACTTTGAAATTTGACCTAATTTGACCTGACCTTGACCTGACCTTGACCTGACCTTGACCAAAACGTGATCTAAGCAGGCCCCAAAGGCTGCCTGACCCATATAATCGCATTTGTCATGTAAAATGGACCATAAAACATGTATCACACGACACTTTCATATTGTGACCCCCCCGTGACCTGACCTCTGTGACCTGACCTGGTATCAGTGACCTCAAATAGCAAAATATGTGTTTGAAGAACATTTCCCCATCGATGATTTTCAATGAAATGCATTTTACTCGATTTTACAACGCATTTCTTGAAGTGCCTGTAAACGGTGAAAATTGGACCTTTGACCTGACCTGTGACGTCATCGGTTTGACCTAGGTCAATAAAATTGGGTCACAAGGTAGTTCCCCGTTGGGGCTATCCAACGCCGTTTACCGCTTGTCGCTATGTTGCGTGGTTCTCGAGATCTTAGGGGGGGGGCCAAAATGCCCCCCCCCCAACCGGGCGCGTTGCTCGGCAGAGCCCAACGGGGCGCGGGTTAATAACCCTAGAACGCCTAGGGGGGGGGGGGTTGTATCAACCCCCCCCCTGAGGTTTTTTCGAAGTGCACGCTAAACGGCTTGTCGTAGCGGGCTGAAATTTTCAATACCCTCTGGGGCAACCTTTGCGCATCTTTTGCCGAAAAAAAATTGATCGGGTCATGTCAGGTCACGGAGTTATGACGTCATAAGAGGTACAGCCTCCGGCCGGATTTTCACAAACTGAGTGCCAACGCCCGAGGTTTCCTGCCGGTGGTACGGACATCGGTTGATGGATCGTGATGAAACTTCCCATGCATGTTGGGGCAAGTATTGGCTATCATATGGTATAAGAAATTTGACCGGGTCAGGTCAGGTCACGGAGCTATGACGTCACAAGAGGAACAGCGTCCGGTACTATTTTTGAAAAGCGCCCGAACCACTATTTTGCTAATTCTTGTCACCTCAATGGGAATATGCAGCAATATTAGCTTCTATAGGGAGCAAATGGACCTCCCAAATCCAAAAATACAATCAGATTTCAAAAATTTAAATTTTGATTTTTCGAATTTCTGCCGCCGACTGTGACGTTGCCGACTTCCGGCGCTCCCAACGCGCCATTTTTAGAGCTAGGGAAACGAAATACATACCAAACGATAGAGAATTGATCAAGGAACACGATAGTGAAGGTTTCAAGTCGATATCTCCCACCGTTTTGCCGCAATCGCCGCCGAAAGTTGAAAAAGTATATTTTTCCGAAAATTTGACCTTTGACCGGTCAAAAGTAGGTCAAATGTTGACCTAGGACCAAAATATATACCACCAATCGCGAGATCTCGTTGAGAGCAATCCGTTGGTTTTTTCCGCTAAGCTCTACGACCTTCCGTTTCGAAACGCCAGGGGGGGGGTCGTAACAACCCCCCCCCCCTGGTCGTTCGTGTTATGAGGAATGGCCTGGTCGTGCGAGGGTTAATTTTGAGAGAAACGATTGAAAATTTAACCGTAAAAGCGCATTCGTTCACATATATCTAGTCGGTTACAGTAAACGTTTTCGTTGCACTTTTACAAGCGTACGGACACATGTAAAGTTATCTACCTGGGCAAAAACATCGCGATTTATATCTACATTTATTATTTGTCCAGCCCGAATAACATTATAAATGTTTAAGTAAGCCGCAATGATATTAGAATGCCTGGGTGTGCCTATGCATTCCGTCTCATTCGCTTAGCCATGTTAAAGTATAGGGCGCAATTGGGCTCTAATTGCGCCATCCCCCTGGCGCAATTTACAGCAGTTGTTGGCAAATGCGCCCTTTTGCATGTTTCTGAAAAAGCAGCTGTCAGAAGCAAACGAAACATTCTTAATTGATCGGGAGGCTCTTAAATCGTAGCCAATGAGTTCCTCTTTGAAATAGTTACCAGTGCATGCTTATATCTCCAGCGGTTTTCTTAAAATTAGCGTTTTTCCTTAAGGTGGCGCAATTCACCCCCCTTCCCCTATTCGTCAGGCATAATAGTCAAATAAATTGGAAATATAATGAGTTAATTTTTGTAACAACACTAGAATGTGTCGAACATGAATTAGAGATATATTTTAGCTGAGATGATACTATATCTGCGCATACATGTACATGAACTAGTACATTAACCCTCGTCGTCCGAGAAGGGGTGGGGCGGGTGCCGCCTCATAGGGCTTTTCGCGATAGCTTAAAACTCGTCTAGGGTAGACAGCTGAAACTTGGCATACCTAATCTTTTCTTCAAACTGGATCTTTTGACCTCAACTGCGTTTTCAGGTCAGGTCAGGTCACTGACCTATGACGTCATAAATAAACCTCTGCGAAGTCCTCAGATGTTGCAACTTTGCAACACCCTACGTGCCAGAGGAACTTTCACAGGAAGATGAATGTTACAGGACGTAGTATCCTTCTGAGGTCTCACAACTTGTATATCTCGGATTTAACCTAAATGTCACATGAGGTCAGGTCGGTCACGTGACCTCACCATTATAAGTCAATGGGGGGAATATTGAAGCTGTTATTTTGGCGCCGGAAATGATCTAAAGCTATCCCAAGCACATGAAATCGTGGTTTCATGATCGGACCTTACAAAGAGTGCATGAAACCACGACTTCATGTGCTTGGGACAGTTTTAGACAATTTCCGGCGCCATAATAACAGTTTTCATATTTCCCCCCATTGACTTATTATGGTGAGGTCACGTGACCGAACTGACCTCATGTGACATTTGGGAAAAATCCGAGAGATACAATTTGTGAGACCTCTAGAGGATACTACGTCTTGTAAGTTTCATCTACCTGTGAAAGTTCCTCTGGCACTGAGGGCGTTGCAAAGTTGCAACTTCTGAGGACCGTGCAGAGGTTCATTTATGACGTCATAGGTCAGTGACCTGACCTGACCTGAAAACGCAGTTGGTGTCAAAAGATCTAGCTTGAATAAAATATTAGGTATGCCAAGTTTCAGCTGTCTACCCTCGGCGTGTTTTGAGCTATCGCGAAAAACCCTATGAGGCGGCATCCGCCCCACCCCTTCTCGGCCGGCGAGGGTTAATGTACTAGTTTATGTACATGTATGCGTAGATATAGTATCATCTCAGCTAAAATTTATCACTAATTCATGTTCGATACATTCTAGTGTTGTTACAAATATTCACTCATTATATTTTCAATTTATTTGACTTTTGTGCATGACGAATATTTACTTTTCAAAAAATAGGTGCTATCTCCAAAATGGAAATTTTTCAGATTTCGGGGACCACACCATCAGATTCCTCGCAAAATTTTGGTTCAGAAAACACTAAAATTGGAGATGGATATTTTCAAAAGTTATTTACCGTCTGTTGGAGCAATGTGTGGGGTTTGCGGTTTTAGTCTGTGTCTTTTTGCGTAGGCTGATAACAATTCAGGCATAAAACGCTGGTCAGGACGGTTCGGTCAGTGATATTCATTTTGGAGGTGGTCCATGGCGCTTGAGTGAACTTATTGCCAAAATAGTTTTATCAAGTGAATGTAGCAAAAGTTAACTGCATAAATTAGCGCTACACCAACGAAAAGCGACAGACATGATGCCTGTTCACCGCGTGCATGTGCAATTACAATGTGCATGCGACTGCGATCGTGTTGAGAGCGTGTGCTGAATGCCGTCAGATTTCCGGTGGCCGATCCGTGGGTGGTGACGGCCGGCTGGGGCCGCACCTCCTACCGGGGCCGACAGTCGGAAGTCCTCATGAAGAGTAAGGTAGGACTCGTCTCTGAATAGTGATTGGTTTGGTTACATTTTTATTGAGATATTATACCGCTTTTAGATATTAGATATTAGATATTGAGATATAGAAGCACGTCGGGTCGAGTCTGCGACCACCAAACAGTCTCGATTACCGGATCCGTAGGACATTACGTTTTTCAGACGCCTTTAGTGCTGCGGTAGAAGACCCCCGCAACTCTGTCACGATGGCCAGTAACTTCCCCTCTCGCCTATATAGCAATAGCAGAACGCCTGCTGTACCGCAGTGATCAGTAACGTTGCAGCCGTGCGCACAAGTCGGGAACCTTGGTGTCACTTTTGACAGCACTCTGTCATGGGACGCACACGTCTCTGAACTCTGCCGCCGGTGTACGGGACTGTTGATTGGTCTTTCACATGCGCGCCACTGTCTCCCAGATGGCATCATTCGAACGCTCGTGACGGCACTCGTTGTATCGCGTATCCAGTACTGCCTTTCAGTTTATGGTAATGGGTCCCAAAAAAATTTCGATCGACTCCAAAAAATTCTTAACTTCGCCGCTAGAGTTATTTTCGGCCGCCGTAAATTTGACCATGTCTCCGAAGTCCGACCTGCGAACAAAACTCGGGTGGTTGTCCCCGCGCGGTATGTCCGATTTCCACACCCTTGTCATCGCACACAAGGTCATACAGCGCCGAGAACCTGAGCAACTAGCAGCCCTGTTCGTCGCTAATAGCGCTATCCGCGAGAGACCATCCAGGCAAGATCACTTCTTCCATCTTCCCCGTCCGCGGCTGGAAACGGGCAAGCGGCGGTTTGGCTATCGAGCTGCAGCTCTGCTGAACAGCCTGCCACCTCACCTGTCGCAGCTGCCTCCCGCCCGCTTCGCCCGCGCTGTTAAAGCCGCAATCGTGGACGATGAATCAGCACATCGTCGCTGACCAATAGGATAGGGGTGGGTAAAAGCGATGAGGCTGTCCTGAGAGTGTTTTGTCCTTGTTTTGACGTGAGTGAATGTGCAACTGTTTTGAATGATTAGATTAGCAACCGCGGATACGGATTCTGAGCAGTAATCGCCACGCACTTTGTATGTGGATCGCTCTTAAATGTAAATACAAAATACAGTAGAAATACAGTAGCTTTAAAATACAAATACAAATACAGTAGCTTCACCTCTCGCCGCTAGATGGCAGTAGAAGAACACCTGCAGTTATGCTGTGCCGCAATGATCAGTAACTTCACCTCGCGCCGCTAGATGGCAGTAGTAAAGCGCCTGCAGTTATGCTGTGCCGCAGTGATCAGTAACTTCACCTCGCGCCGCTAGATGGCAGTAGTAGAACGCCTACAGTTATGCTGTGCCGCAATGACCAGTAGCTTCACCTCTCTTGCGAAGCGGTGGCAAAACGCCTCCTGTGCCGCAGGTCTGCAATGTCCGTACTCCGTGGTACGTTCAATTATCACGCCACCGCCCTTTGATAAATGATTCGGAACTCTGAAACTGTGTGAAGTGAAACTCACCTTTCGGTTGCCATCAACGATCGGACAGCAATAAATTTCACATACGATTGTTAACTATTGTGAGCGTCGAACGAGAGCGGAGTAGGTTAGCGGCAAAAGCTGCGTACGAGCTCCGTGGGCCATGCTCACCCTTTGTGAGAAGTTTACATCCCGTCGGCCGCGAGCCGCGATCCTGTACGTTTGGCAGCCTTGACAACCCGAGTTAGACGGCGAATCCAAAAGGGCATACACGCCTTCCGGTGTGACCGCTGGATTGTTTGGGCGACCTGTCCCATCCGGGTCACTCCCGTCCCACCGTGACGGGCTCAGCCGCTGTGACGTGCCGCCCGTGGTCGATTCAGCCCATCCCTTCCCTTATCCTCTCACCCCGGGGTCCCTGAATGGCCGCAGTAGACAGAGAATGCCTAACCTAAAGGTAATCCCCGCGGCCACCTGTGCGCTGCCGGCAGTGGATGGAGATGATCCGGCACGACCACTGCGCGGCCGCCACCAAGTACCGCGAGCGGCCCGGCCTGCTGACCGAGAGGATGCTCTGCGGGGTCTCCGACCTTACCGACGCCTGCCTCGGCGACTCGGGTCAGTGCAGCGGTCGGCTGACTCGGGTCAGTGCAGCGGCCGGCTGACTCGGGTCAGTGCAGCGGTCGGCCGCGCCAGCACCCCGGCCGTACAGTCGCAAACACTCTGCGGACCGCTGGGCACCTGCGTGATCAGCCCTCGCCCGGCAATGAATATTTGTGCAATGAATCTCAATTCATTGCATACTTCAATTCATTGCAATTCATCTCAATTCATTGCAATTCATTGCAATAAATCTCAATTCATTGCATATATGCAATGAATCTCAATAGAATATTTGTGCCCACACCTAATGGACCCCCTGGCTTCATCATGCTCCGCAGACAACTAAAAATGTTCGCGCAGCTTGTGGGAACTTTAAAATGTCGCATGTGGCTTTTCTATCACTTCACGTACGATGGATTTTAGGAGATGTAAGCGAGTCCTTACATGGAACAATTTAACGGTTTACAAAACACAGATCTATAACATTTTTGAAACATGAAATATGTTCCGCTGGGTCCTCAGCACATGCCTGCGTTGTGTGTTCCCACCGGCAGGCGGGCCTCTGATGTTCTACCATCCCAAGTACTACCGCTGGTTCCTGGTGGGAGTGACCAGCTTCGGCTGGGGATGCAACGAGCCCAACGACCCGGGCGTGTACACCAACCTCTACCACCCGGACATCCTGGGCTGGCTGAGCTGCGCCAACACCGGACAAATGTGTCAGAACTGAGCTGCGCCAACACCGGACAAATGTGTCAGAACTGAGCTGCGCCAACACCGGACAAATGTGTCAGAACTGAGCTGCGCAAACACCGGACAAATGTGTCAGAACTGAGCTGCGCCAACACCGGACAAATGTGTCAGAACTGAGCTGCGCCAACACCGGACAAATGTGTCAGAACTGAGCTGCGACAACACCGGACAAATGTGTCAGAACTGAGCTGCGACAACACCGGACAAGTGTGTCAGAACTGAGCTGCGCCAACACCGGACAAATGTGTCAGAACTGAGCTGCGCCAACACCGGACAAATATGTCAGAACTGAGCAGCGCCAACACCGGACAAATGTGTCAGAACTGAGCTGCGCCAGCACCGGACAAATGTGTCAGAACTGAGCTGCGCCAATACCGGACAAATGTGTCAGAACTGAGCTGCGCCAACACCGGACAAATGTGTCAGAACTGAGCTGCGACAACACCGGACAAATGTGTCAGAACTGAGCTGCGACAACACCGGACAAGTGTGTCAGAACTGAGCTGCGCCAACACCGGACAAATGTGTCAGAACTGAGCTGCGCCAACACCGGACAAATGTGTCAGAACTGAGCTGCGCCAGCACCGGACAAATGTGTCAGAACTGAGCTGCGCCAACACCGAACGAATTTGTCAGAACTGAGTCCTACCAACACCGGACAAATGTGTCAGAACTGAGCTGCGCCAACACCGGACAAATGTGTCAGAACTGAGCTGCGCCAACACCGGACAAATATGTCACCAACACCAACAGCAGACAAATGTGTCAGAACTGACACCAACAGCAGACAAATGTGTCAGAACTGATATAAACACCAGACCCGAGGTCAGGCCCGTCCAGTCAAAACTGGCCCGTGCTCCGACCCGTTCGGCCAAAACTGGTCTTTCGTTTCCAAGTCAAAGCGATCAGCAATAGGCGATAAAAGTGCCAACATCACTAGTGTAACTGCCCACGACTCGGATTATGTTGGGCCAGTGCGTTGCTGATGATAATTTGTCGTTTTATGCCCCATTAGCCACGGAGTTAGTTTGCGCCCTCATTGTATAGCTAGTAAGACCGTATGGTACAAATACCGCGATAATGTATTTTTTGGAATAATAGCTCATACCTCGAACGAAACAAATCCCCATATTTTCGCGAGTTTCAAAATTGTTCCAGACATCAACTGAAACACCTCATATGCCTTCATCTGCATAAGACTGACATCGATTGACCAATTTTTTTTCGAGAGCGTTCAAATGTTAATAAACAATGACGTTTGTTTGACGTGGGACGTCCTTTTCGTTAATTTACTCCAGATAAAGGAGTGAGATAGGTATTGGAGGCGGAGTTTGTTTTGTGCTTCGGCCAGGACTTTCTTTGTAATGCGTATTTACTTTGACCTTGTCCTTGAGGTGCTCAATGATTATGTATTTTTGCATCATTGCTTATCAATACAGGCATGATCAACGAGTATGTTGAGTTTTATTCGTGTCGCAGGACGAGGAAGTGTCCGGAAGCAGCGCAACAACATGACGTTACTGATAACACTTCTGAAAATACTCAAATGCAAAGTTTGTTTAGCGCTCTCGCTATGCGGCATTCATTGATATAAACTTTGTCATTGTCAAAACTCAAACATGTTAACCCTATTCCTGGCGGGGGGGGGCCTCAGGAGCCCCCCCTGAGGTTTTTTGGTTATATCTCCCAAACGCGTTGAGCTAGGAAGCTCAAATTTTCTGACTTTTCCTAAAAGGCTTCTACGCAACATGTCTGAAAATTTTGAGTTGATCTGACCAGGGCTGCGGAGTCGATGGATTTTCGGCGACTCCGACTCCGACTCCGACTCCGGCTTTCAAAAACCAGCTCCGACTCCGACTCCGACTCCGGGCAGAATTGTCGACTCCGACCGACTCCAACTCCCGACTCCGACTCCGCAGACCTAGCAGGGCTGCGGAGTCGACAGATTTTCGGTGACTCCGACTCCGACTCCGGCTCGGGTTTCTAAAATCGACTCCGACTCCGACTCCGACTCCGGTCACAACTGTCGACTCCGACCGACTCCGACTCCGACTCCGACTCCGACTCCGCAGCCCTGGATCTGACCTCAGGTCAGGTCACCAGAGGCGGTTTGGTGACGCTACCTCAGAAAAGTTTGCAATCACGCCAGAGCTAGAGTTTTTGACCGATCAATTTCTTCTCTTCAGGGTTTAGTTAGGGTACCAGAATGTGCAATTTGTATATCTCGGAATTTTGATATCGGTGACCTAAGGTCAGGTCAATTTCGCGACCTCCCCATTATAAGTCAATGGGGGAAAAATCAACTCCCTGTTTTTACCACTAAAACGGGTCGGAATGGCCCCATATACCATACATGACTTCATATACGATCAACCTTCACTACCTTGAGGTCTGTTTTGCTGTTGGGCAGCTGTGAGGTCATGTGACGTCATCAAAGGTCACCAAAGGTTTTTGGCCAATAACTCCGTACAGGAACAAGATACAGACGCGTGGATGGTCTCATTGTGTTCAGCTCGTCAAGACGCATCGAATGATATACATGATGACCTCGAGGTCACGTGACCTGAGGTCAACCTTTGACCTTGACCTTTCGAGGTCAACATATATATCATTCGATGCGGATTGACGAGAGGATCACGATGATGCCCTTAGTTTGTTCCTATCTTGACTAATTCGAAAGTTATTCGAGAAAAACTCTCTCCATATCTAGTGCCGCCATTTTGACTTTTTCGACCCCTGTGACGTCATCTTTGACCTGACCTGAAAATGACCTTTGTAAAAATTGTAGATCTTGGCCGTGCGTATCCGATGCCGTTTACCGCTTGTCGCTATCTTGCTTCGTTCTCGAGATCTCAGGGGGGGGGGCCGAATCGGCCCCCCCCCCGCCAGTTTCTTGTCCCGGCGGAGCCCGCCAGGAATAGGGTTAAACGATTCATCGGCCAATACCCGAGTATTTCACAAACCAAGATATTACAAAAAGTAAAAACCGCAGCCTTATTTGAAGTGTATTGCGACACGCATGTAAGCACATTTCACAACAGTGCATTAGTGATTACTGATAGGTTCATCGAGACGAGCCGGCCGACACAAGGCACCCGCCTTCGCCGCGGCGGGGCCGTGAGGGGCTCTGGTACGACCACCGGCGGGAGGCCGGCGCACGAGCCGGGAACACCCAAACGGACGGACTGGGCTCCCTGGATGGACTAGATCAGTGAGATCGACACCACTCGGTCCGTGCGCGCACGGAAAACCGGCAATTTTATCACAGAGAGCGCGGACCAACAGACGCGCTGGAATCTTCAGCGGCATCAGAGGTCTGCCGACCGACTCCAGCTCAAGCGCATATATCACTGGGTGCATAAAATATGTCCACGGCCCACACATAACACTATCAACAGCACGGCGTGAGGCTAACGAAAATGACGCGAGCGAGAGATAACTTGATTTATACGTGAGACACTCAGAAAATGATCACATTAATCGCAGTCTGCTCGTGATAACAATTCGTGCAGCGTTTGTGGCCAGCACTGTGTCTCGCGGGCCGGTCTGAGTGCTGGGGCTTCGCTACAGGGCGCCCGGCGACAGCGTCCCAGCCACAACAGCCGAACCAATCACTGCGGCGCCCCCGGGCGCGGCTCACATGCGGCGCCCCCGCGCCCCGGGCGCTGCTCCTGTCCGGCGCCCCCTACGTCCCGGGCGGCGCGGCTCACCTGGTGCGCGCTCAAATGATGCGCACGTAGTGCAGGAACTGGTCGAGCTCGCCGGCCTGGCTGTGTGTGTACGTGTCGGCCACTGTGTGCACCTCCAGCGCCCCGTCGGCCGTGGACACCGCCTGCCGCGCAGATCAGGGAGGGTCAGGGGCCTCACAGGGGAGGGACACCGCCTGCCGCGCGGATCAGGGAGGGTCAGAGGCCTCACAGCGGAGGGACGGGGGCCTCACAGCGGAGGGGACACCGCCTGCCGCGCAGATCAGGGAGGGTCAGGGGCCTCACAGGGGAGGGTCAGGGTCCTACCAGGGAGGGGACACCGCCTGCCGCGCGGATCAGGGAGGGTCAGGGGCCTCACAGCGGAAGGACACCGCCTGCCGCGCAGATCAGGGAGGGTCAGGGGTCTCACAGGGAAGGGACACCGCCTGCCGCGCGGATCAGGGAGGGTCAAGGTCCTCACAGGGGAGGGACACCGCCTGCCGCGCGGATCAGGGAGGGTCAAGGTCCTCACAGGGAGGGGACACCGCCTGCCGCGCAGATCAGGGAGGGTCAGGGCCCAGGGGCCACACAGCCGTGGACACCGCCTGCCGCGCAGATCGGGGGGGGGGGGGGTCAGGGGCCTCACAGCGGAGGGACACCGCCTGCCGCGCGGATCAGGGAGGGTCAGGGGCCTCACAGGGAGGGGACACAGCCTGCCGCGCAGATCAGGGAGGTCAGGGGCCACACAGCGGAGGGACACCGCCTGCCGCGCAGATCAGGGAGGGTCAGGGGCCTCACAGCGGAGGGACACCGCCTGCCGCGCAGATCAGGGAGGGTCAGGGTCCTCACAGCGGAAGGACACCGCCTGCCGCGCGGATCAGGGAGGGTCAGGGGCCTCACAGCGGAAGGACACCGCCTGCCGCGCAGATCAGGGAGGGTCATCGCTCACTGAGGGGAGTTTCGGGGTACTAACAGCGGAGGGACACCGCCTGCCGCGCGGAGGGAGGGGCAAGGGGCCTCACAGGGGAGGGTCAGGGGCCTCACAGGGGAGGGACACCGCCTGCCGCGCAGATCAGGGAGGGTCAGGGGCCTCACAGGGAGGGGACATCGCCTGCCGCGCAGATCAGGGAGGGTCAGGGTCCTCACAGCGGAGGGACACCGCCTGCCGCGCGGATCAGGAAAGGTCAGGGGCCTCACAGCGGAAGGACACCGCCTGCCGCGCAGATCAGGGAGGGTCATCGCTCACTGAGGGGAGTTTCGGGGTACTAACAGCGGAGGGACACCGCCTGCCGCGCGGAGGGAGGGGCAAGGGGCCTCACAGGGGAGGGTCAGGGGCCTCACAGGGGAGGGACACCGCCTGCCGCGCAGATCAGGGAGGGTCAGGGGCCTCACAGCGGAAGGACACCGCCTGCCGCGCGGATCAGGGAGGGTCAGGGTCCTCACAGCGGAGGGTCAGGGGCCTCACAGCGGAGGGACACCGCCTGCCGCGCAGATCAGGGAGGGTCATCGCTCACTGAGGGGAGTTTCGGGGTACTAACAGCGGAGGGACACCGCCTGCCGCGCGGAGGGAGGGGCAAGGGGCCTCACAGGGGAGGGTCAGGGGCCTCACAGGGGAGGGACACCGCCTGCCGCGCAGATCAGGGAGGGTCAGGGGCCTCACAGGGGAGGGTCAGGGGCCTCACAGGGAGGGGACACCGTCTGCCGCGCAGATCAGGGAGGGTCAGGGTCCTCACAGCGGAGGGACACCGCCTGCCGCGCAGATCAGGGAGGGTCAGGGGCCTCACAGCGGAGGGTCAGGGGCCTCACAGCGGAAGGACACCGCCTGCCGCGCAGATCAGGGAGGGTCAGGGTCCTCACAGCGGAAGGACACCGCCTGCCGCGCGGATCAGGGAGGGTCAGGGGCCTCACAGGGGAGGGACACCGCCTGCCGCGCAGATCAGGGAGGGTCATCGCTCACTGAGGGGAGTTTCGGGGTACTAACAGCGGAGGGACACCGCCTGCCGCGCGGAGGGAGGGGCAAGGGGCCTCACAGGGGAGGGTCAGGGGCCTCACAGCGGAGGGACGCAGAGTCAGCAGATGTCACTCACAACTGGCGCACACCCCACCTCAACACCAGTCACATCCCAAAAGTCGATGCCGCCAAAATGTCACCGAGTCGTCTGATACTTAGTTGACCAGGAATAACGTAAAGCAGCTTTTGATGACGGTACATGCTTCTAGAACGAGTCATTAAAACTGATACCGATTCCTAGGCGTAGGGCGTTAACAGCATTTACAATCAAAACACAATATTCGACATCATCGAATTCAGACCCAAATTCAGACGGCGCTATTGGCGCACATAGACGCACATATATGATTTTCGTCTACAAGATGCTACACGGCCATGTTGACGCAGATCCTTCAAGGCTTCTGACAATGAACTCTGTAGTGCAACTCTAATACTGGGTGTGAGACGCGACTGTCGCCACTCATCAGGGCGTGTGTGACGCGACTGTCGCCACATGACGCGACTGTCGCCACATGACGCGACTGTGACCAGTTGACCACTCACCAGGTGTGTGACGCGACTGTGACCACTCATCAGTTGTGTGACGCGACTGTCGCCGTGTGACGTAACTGTCGCCGCGTGACGCGACTGCCGCCACTCACCAGGTGGGTGACCCGACTGTGGCCACTCACCAGTTGTGTGACGCGACTGTGACCACTCATCAGTTGTGTGACCCGACTGTGGCCGTGTGACCCGACTGTGGCCACTCACCAGATATGTGACGCGACTGTGGCCACTCACCAGGTGGGTGACGCGACTGTCGCGACTGAGGCCACTCATCAGGGCGTGTGTGACGCGACTGTCGCGACTGTGACCACTCACCAGGTGTGTGACCCGACTGTGGCCACTCACCAGTTGGGTGACGCGACTGTCGCCGTCGGCGCTGTAGCTGAGATCCATGGCCGTCACCGGGCCCGACTGCACCTGGTCCGTCTCGGCGGGGAAGATGTCCCCCGCGCTCAGGTCCCACACGTGGATTCTGCCGGGGGTCAAACAGCTCAGTCCCCGAGCCGCCCAGCTGGGACGGCGTGGGATATCACAACGCATACACAGACACAGACAGACGAGCACGCGCACATAGCACACACACTCGTTGGTGACCAGTCGATCCCCGCTGACTGGTCGGTGACCGCAGCGGCGCGGCGGCCACTGACCTGGAGTCGGCGTCCAGGACGAAGAAGACGCAGGGCCGGTGCTGCGACCAGTGGAGCGCCAGCACCGGGGCCGCGTCGGCGGCCGTGTTCCAGGTGATGAGCGGCCGCTCGCCGGTGGTGGTGTGCAGCCGCAGCGAGCCGTCGGCGCCGCCGGCCAGCAGAAACGGCTGCTCGAACGGGCACAGCGCCAGACAGCGCGCCGGCACCGACACGTCTGCCGACACAGAGAGCCGTACAGAGGGCTACCAGCAGTAGAGGGGGACACAGCGCCAGACAGCGCGCCGGCACCGACACGTCTGCCGACACAGAGAACGGTACAGAGGGCTACCAGCAGTAGAGAGGGACACAGCGCCAGACAGCGCGCCGGCACCGACACGTCTGACAGACGGCACAGCGGGGTCAGAGCGGTACCAGAGGGGTCAGAGCGGTACAAGAGGGGTCAGAGCGGTACCAGAGGGGTCAGAGCGCTGCAGAGGAGTAGGTATAATACAGATACCAAAAGGATCAGAGCGGTGAGGTCAGAGCAGAGAGATCGGCAGTAACGGCCGGACACGTCCGATAACTGTCCATCGTTCCAATCTGTCTATCGAATCGACTTTCTGTGTAAATGTACTTGCATAAGTTGTTCAAGTGCCAAACAATCTACATGCACACACATTGCTGCTTTTCAATTAAACTGGATAATCAGGTCTATCCGTGCGGGTCTGTCGTTGTGGGCCTGTAGGTGAAATAATACGGTGCTGTCAGTATGAGGTTGTCGGTTAGTCAGTAGCGGTTAGTCAGTACGGGTCAGTCTGTATGGATCTGTTGGTACAGGACCGTCAGCTTGGCTCTGCGGTGACGAGTCGGTCAGCACGGCCCCGTGGTGACGAGTCGGTCAGCACGGCCCCGTGGTGACGAGTCGGTCAGCACGGCCCCGTCTGCCCACTGACCGGTATCGGGCCGGAAGAGGCGCGGCACGGGCCGGCCGCCCTGGCGCGTGCAGTGCACGATCACGCCCGTGTCCGTACTGACGTAGATGTGGCTCGGGTCGCTCGGGTCGATCCGGAAATCACTGGCCTCGGTAAACATCCCCTGCTGGTTGCTGCCAATAAAGAACACATGGCCTCGGTAAACATCCCCTGCTGGTTGCTGCCAATAAAGAACACATGGCCTCGGTAAAAACCCGCTGCTGGTTGCTGCCAATAAAGAACACATGGCCTCGGTAAACATCCCCTGCTGGTTGCTGCCAATAAAGAACACATGGCCTCAGTAAACATCCCCTGCTGGTTGCTGCCAATAAAGAACACATGGCCT